CTTATTGGTGAAATTACTCAAGACAAAAGTACTTTTTTCTTTGATTTCTTTATGTGTCCATGTGTTACCTTGAATTGTATATTGGTTTCCCTTTATTTTTAACTTACTGATTTTTTTGCCATTGGCAAAATCATAGTGTGTCTTGGCCAGGTCTAAAGGGATTTTTTAGCCATCGATGAAGTCACTATGTGAGGAGAAAGAAGATGAATGATTTGTTGTTTCAGTTTTGATTTTTAATTATATATTTGTGATTAATTTGTATTTTTTTTTTTTTGAAAATTTGGGACTATTGTTGCCATTAGTTCTTTTATTTTCATTTATTTTATTTGAATATGAGGGTAAAATCGTCTTTTTACTAAAAAAATTGATGAAAATGACCTTTTTCACAATGAAATATGGAAACAGAGGTGAAAATGCTAAAAAATTAAAGGTATGGACGTTTTGCGCAATAATATTGAAAGATAGATATGTTTTGTGCTATTTACCCAATTCCATTCAACTGAAATAAGGGAAACAATTCTCCTCAAATTCCACTCAACGACTACTCAAAATCAGATAACAATACTAAAGTTCCACAGATGGATAGGACAAAATTTGCAGCAGCGTATGCAAGCATTTATGTTCCCGAAAAATTAAGAGAAAGGCTAATGCATGAATAAAATGAAAAAAAAAAGATACCGAAGAACGAACAATTCACAATAGCACTTCGACTGACATAATACCACAAATAAATAACTAATTAAACCACATATTTTCCTTCCGAGTCGTAATACCATGTGTGAAGTATGATTTGATGGACGCTTGAGGTGGGTCTTTGTTGTTTCATAATGGCCGAACTGTTGAGACGGCGATGGCTTTGTCGAATGGTCAAATATGGACAATCGGTCGGAATGAAAGAAAGCATCGAAGGTAAATCTCACCGATGACATGGTGCTTCAAAATTCAAGATTTCGCCGAAAAATGGTGTTGTTAGTTTGGAGGGTTTGAAAAGGGGGAAAATGAGGAGAGAGATGGTTTTACCCGTTCAAAGAGTGTTTTCTTTTCTTTTATTTTTTCCCTCCATTTTCCAAGTCGCATTGTAAGGCACATTGTGAAGCCTATTGTACGAGTAGTGGGATCGCAGTAAAACAGGGCTTAATAAAAATAAAGGGTAATTGGCACGAAACATTCATACTTTTCAAATTTATTGTGGAAAATGTCTATATCTTTCATTTTTTTACATTTTTACCTTTACCTCCACCTTTTTTTGCGCTGAATGTCATTTTCACCAATTTTTAATGTAAAAATAAAATGACCAATATATTCTCCTATTTAAATAAAATAAAAACGAAACTAAAAATAAAGAATAAATTACAATTATAGGCCCAAACTTTTTAAAAAGTGTAAATTAGTTCAAATAAATTATTAAAATATTAAAAATAACAAATAAAAAATCTCTTTTGTAGTCCTCTTCACCTCTCATTCCTTACGCCTCCTCTACCACCATCACCACTATTGTCGTTGCCAAAACCACACCACAAACTGCTGCCATCAACCCAAATGCTTATGATAGAAATTTGATACAAATACTACTCAATTGAAAGAGGATCTAAACTCGTATGCTTCAAGCTGTCCCAAAATCAATTGCGTGATTCGTGCAAAATTGTTGAAGACCCAAAGTTGTAATAGCTTCACCATGATGAGAGGGTGCTGAATATGGTGATCTGTGACCATAATGTCCACCACAATCAATGGAATTTCGCCTGAAACTTGTGTGATGATTACGTTCTAAATGTTTGGGTTAAGATGTTGATTGGGTGATTGAGTAGGTGTTTGGGGACCATAGTTTGATGCATCATGATGAGGGGAATCTACAATATGTTAGGCTTGGGTTGGGAGTCATCAGAGAGGAAGCTGCTGCAATTTTGGTTTGTGCAACTGGCACATTTTGTAAAGAAATTTTAGTCAATTCACCTGGAGTTAGGGCCAACTATTAGGCGGGTTGTGTAGATGGCAATAAGGACTTGAAGTTGGCACCATGGTCCGGTGGCCGGAATGTGGTGAAAATAGAGAGAGAGAGAGAGAGTTTTAATATTTTTATAATTTATTTGGACTAATTTGCGCTTTTGTAAAAGTTTGGGCTTACAATTGCAATTTATTCTTTATTTATTTTTATTTTTTTGTTTTGTTTAAACAGGAGGGTAAATTGGTTATTTATGTTAAGAATTGGTGTCAATGACGTCCAGTGCAAAGAAATGTAAAAAATGGGAAAGAAAATATCAAAAAATAAAAGATTGAGACGATTTTCACATATAGGGAGGGACGTGCCAATTATGCTTCAAACTTTTTTTTTCCCCCATTTTTTTCCCCTTAAATTCCTTTTGGAAATATGACTCCCGTCATCGACCGCCGATTTAGTAGCTACTGACGTCATGGGACGCAACCGCGACGGCTCCGAGGGCACTCTTCCTTGCACAGCGGATCAGTCTCCTCCTCCTCCGCCCAAATCTTCAAGGAAACGCCATCAGGGTCACCACTCCAAACACAGCAGAAAGAAACAAAAATTTATATTTCCAGAAACTGACACTAAATCCCTAAGCCAAAGCAAAACCGTAGCTAAGATTACTCCTCCAAATTCGCACAAATGCAACCGTCATTCCCACAAAGGCAGGAAACACAGAAACCGCAAAGAATTACGAAGTGAACACAGTCATCGCAAGTGGACTTATTCTGCTCATGATGACTCCAATTGCGTCGGTAATGCACGCACACAAATTCTCATTTTCTAGGCTGTTTTCCTTTATAGGTTTAAAGAATTGTCATTTTTTTATTATGGAAATTGTAACACTCGAGTTCATTGCAAATTTTTGTTTTGAATCCGCCCAATCTTAGAAGAGTTTCAATGATATTATTTTAAGTTGATGCGAATTTTAGTGTAGTGCTCATATTTGTTCGTTGTCCAAATATTAATGGCTCCTTGTATGTTATGATTTTTAAGGCAAGGTTATTCTTGTATCATATAACATACTTGGTGTTGAAAATGCGGCAAAGCATCCGCAACTGTATAGAAGAGTCTCACGGAAGTATTTGGATTGGGAGCACCGAAAGAAGCTTCTGTGCAAGGAAATCCGTGGGTACAAACCGAGCATCCTGTGTTTTCAGGCAAGTTTAAGCTCCTCTTAGTAACAAATGTTTTAAACCTCTTGCATCGTTTCTGGCTAAAAGATGAAGCTTATTCCTCACTAACTTGTAGTTGTACGCAATCACATTTACAGGAAGGTAAAGAAAGTTAATAGACGTCCGTGATCAAGTTGAATTAATATTATTCGTGTTCTGATGCTCTATTTCGTGTGAACTTTGTTAATATAAGTTTTATAGCACAATTCTTGTTAGTGCCACTTGAACCTTTGTTTGTAAATATCTTCATGGGTAAAACTACAACACGCAATTACTACGGTGTCAGATATTTTTACCAATTACTAATGTTTTGTTTATTTTTCTTGCATTGAGAGCTACACAAGCATGATCACTTTTTCTGTTTTCATTAGGGCAAAATGCCAAAATCTGTAAATTAATGCAATATATAACTTATATATAGTATATAATCATATAGGTACTCTCGAACTGGTTGTGCCTTATGGTTTTCAAACGTTCACTTTATTTCCTCTAACTTATCTCTTTCACTGTTATCTATGATATTAAAGCCACGATCAGAGCATTTATAATGACACTGGATTTGAAGCTCCACTTAGAGCTGTATACATTGGGACAGTTTTTATTCTCATTATCTTTTGTGGAAATAGGAGGTTGATAGATTTGATGATTTGAATGATCTTCTTGGAAAAGATGGCTTCAAAGGTGTGCACAAGGTATTCTTTAATTTAATTTTTGATAATCCGTCATATTATGAGACAGAATATTGACTGGAACAAGTTACTTTTACAAGGCTCGTGCAGGTGAAACATGTGATGGCTGTGCCATATTTTGGAAAAATGAGTTGTAAGATCTTTATCCACACTACCCTTAGTATTGTATTCCAATGTTGTTTCAAGTTGCTTGTTCGCATTCCTTTCTTTTCTTATTCTACTTAGTAACCATCCTCTGGGTAAATTGTGGAAAATTTTAAGACCAAATTCTTGTTTGGCTAAGCTTAATACATTCACAATAAGTTGTACTTTTTTTTAGTCCCAAAATTTATTGGAAACTAGGCTTAGTTTTTGTTGCTGTGTTTGTTTTTTGTATTACTTTTTTGAGCAAGTATTACATATATTTGGACAACTGTACTTATAACTAGTTGTATGCTTGATGATAAAGTACTTGTTTGGAACTTGCTGTTGCTGAAATTCTACATAAGCCCAGGATTAGCTTATTTTTTTATTGTTTCTAGTTTATGATGATGCTTATTGTCTAATTTTCTGGTTCTAGGAAAAATGTACATTGTTCTTGTTTTCTAATTATTTTTGGATATATCCCACAAAGCTTCTCCATTAGCAATATGTATCTTGTTTCTAGCTATATCTCCCATCTATGATTAGCATAATGAACTGCAGATTTACTCTTTTGCATGAAGAAACCATAGAGTTCCAGAGGTTTGGACTGCGCAACAATGTTGCTCAATTTTGTGTTTTAAAGGTATGCATACCTGTGAACTTATGTAATTTGCTTAATTATAGTACATATATGATCAATGATGCCTTTAACTTTGACATATATGTTGGTCCCTTTAGATTGCTGGGCACTAGATCTTTTAGTGTGCATGTTGTTTCAGGTATTAATTTGTAACGAACAAAATCTTGGAATTTGAAATTAGTACAAAAACAACGTTCTTTTTTCTTTCAAAAATTTGGGTTAAAATTTTTCTTAATTTCCTTTTTTACTTTGTAGTTACCCATGCATTCTATTGCAAGTTCTAAAATTTATTGGAAACAAATGATTTAAGGTCGATAAGTTTGATTTGTTAAATAACGAAACTAAAACGGAGGGTTAAAATGAATGCTAGCGTACATTAACGGAGTTAAATTCAGTAACGTGCTAAGCACCGACATAGACACAAGTGTTCGCATGATATGTGTCAAACACGTGGACGCGGGATTTTTTGAAAATGTTTTGACATGATACGTTGTCGATACGTTAATTAAAATATTATTTTTTAACTTATGTTAATTTCATAGTCAAAATTAATAATTTTTTATACTTATTGCATCATATATATAAATAATTAAATAATAGATATAAATAAAACTTGACATTAAATTCATACATGGACGGTAAAAGAATTAATTAATTTTTTTTTTCATGTTGCTTTGTTAAAGAATAAAATTGGAAAAAAAGTAAATTAAATATATACTAAAACAAATTGTACAATGCATTGGGTCCAATAATTTGATTTGAAAAGTACAACAGTTTACAAAAAAATTGTTCAGTGCACTGGGTCCAATAATTTTCTTTGAAAAGTACAATGGTTTACAAAAAAGTATTTCCTTTCTTCAATACACGTCTCTTCATCTCCGCTTTCCTATTTCTTCTTTCTTCACCACCAATCACCGGTGTCCCGCCGTCATCGTTTTCTTATTTCTTTCTTCTTAATTTCTTCTGCAACATTTTCTTCCAGCCCTCCGACACGCATCAGAGACTTATTGGTGTCCGATACATGTTTGACACTGATACGTCAACACTAGTAGCGTGTCCGTGCTTCCCATGTGCTCTCCAAAGATCAAGCTTAGTTGGACCATTTATTGAATTCATAATTTTATGAAATTTTTACAGTATTTTCCAAACTCATTCGAGTACAACATAGTAAAATTTTAGAATTTTCTAACATAATTTAGGCACTCAAACATGTGAAAAACTGTTCTCGTGTATACTGAACACAGCACATGAAAAAGGGCATAACTTATCCTACCGACCTTCAATTGGCTTGATTTCGAAGCCAACGGTCAGAGGACTCATAGGGCTTTTAAACCCCACTCGTTTTGTCCAAAAATTCAAAGAATTCTGTTGGGGATGACCGATAAATTTCGGGCAGTAAGCTGAAATTTTTCTTTACAAGTCTAATTTTCAATCTTAACTTCTTTAAGAACTTTAATTATAAGCATACTTAAACCATATAACACTTTAAATGTTCCCATCAAGAAAAAGAACTAGGAAATCTTAAAGAAAGATAAACTAACATCTTTTAGAAATTAAACATAAGTTGCATAACTAGTAAGAACTAGAAACTCTTCAAATGTGAGAAATTATACAAATGAAGTACCTCCCTCCCTTCAAATCCTTCGCAATCCACGTAAATACCACTTCCCCAACATCCTTTAATTTGGAAAATTTGTCAACATAGAAAATGTGAACTTTAAACTCAGTAGGACTAATATCATATGGTGCACCATTTTGGTCATAAACATACACACACATATATACAAAGTGATAGGAAAGAATTTAACATTTCACGTATATGAATACTTGCAAATTCATGATTCTAAAGAATCCCTTGTGGTCATAGAAACCGGTTATGGCCATACATAAACTTCTTTTTTCATATTTTCAACAAATTCTAGCACACATTGTAGAGGCATACATATACATAATGAACGAAAAGGGTAAATACTTAGCATCGCTTACCTTGATTTTCTTGAAATATAAAGGAACAAGATGTGTCTTCACAACTTAACATAAAAGATATTTTTGAGAGAAAATAAAAGCAAGTTCAGATTTGAGGAGAGGTGTAGGGAAAAGTGACTTTCCTCTTCTTGTAGCCTTTATTTTCAAGAAAAAACTAAACAGGAGAGTTATATCATCGTTAAGTTTGTTAAATTGAGCCTTTAATTAGGAATTTAAAGAGTTTTAAGCCCTTAAAAAATAATTCTTATAAAAAGTTATATAAAACATTTATATAATGAAAAATAGAGGAAAATGCATTGTTCATATGATATGTAACCTATTCCTATTAATGCCCACTAATAAAATAATTATTCCATCATATTAACTTGATATAATTGTTCTTATTGTGGAAAATGAGGAGTTTCTAATTTGAAATAATTTAAAAAAAATATTTTATATAATCATCTCCGTGGTGATTCAAATCTGGGTTGCCTATGTATAATACCATGCGGATGACCATTTTAACAATCCAGTTATTCGTTAAATATTTATAATCAAATTTACTTAAACTTAATGTCTTAAATCTTTGGGTATTTTAATAACTTATGGCTTGAGCTTTCATTACCTTAAACGGGCCGAGCCTCCATAGCTCTTTTTAAAATGGGCTACGTTAACCGACTTAAAAATATAAAATTCTGAACTTTACATAATTAATGTATGTTTCAAATATCATTGCTATAGAGCGTCCTATCCTAGTTGACCTCAGTCATTGATTCCAGAAGTAATTTCAGTACATTTTTCCACTTCTTCTCTCTCATGGCACAGGTAAATAAATGAATTAAATAAAGGGCGTCGGTATTGCTTTCATGGAGAATTAAATAAAAAACTAAAAATAATTTGCTGATTTTCGTAATCCTTTATATATCATTTTGAACTCTTATCTTTTTAAAGAGGTAGGCTATTTGCCACTATAATTTGACGACTCTTAATTGAGGTAATCAGACTTTGGTGTGGGCGTAAATTCGAAGTACGGCAAGGCGTTCCTTGGGTTCTGTTTGGTACTGAAGTGGAGTGCTTCAATAAATTGTAAAGACGCAGAAAAAAGTATCTCACGCACCTAAGTGTGCACTATCAAGCTCCAGGACGTTTTGACTCCTCTTCTCATCTGAATCACTGGTTCCTGTTTGGTTTGTTATGCACTCTGTTGTTGATATTATCTGCTAAAGTTGGATTACCTGCTCAGTATATATGAAATGTTGTTCTGAGAAAACTTTGGTCTTGAGTTAACTAAAATTGATCCTGAACTTCTTTATAATTTTCTGGAAATTACTGCACAATTTGTTCTAAGAACAAGTTGCTTCTATCTCATGATTTTCATGATTATATTATGGGCATGTGGAGTTTCTAAGTTGCAATTATAGGAGGTTCTTCACATCCTTAAGCTCCAAGGGACATTCCTCCATGTGTATAGCGCATTGATACCTATGTTGTAGATTCTGGTGTCTATTCTAGATTCTCTGTTGTCTTTGGATATTTGGATAGGATGTTTTGCTTTGATGGGTGTGTGGAAAATCAAGTAACACTTGTCAGTTGTCGGGATTTGATTTGCATTCTCGAATGCATTTTCTACATTGCCCTTGCAAAAAAAGGGACGTCAATGTCAGAATTATATTGCGTCTTTTAAATCTTCCTCCCCCTCCCTAGCTTCCACCCGCTGTTTTTGGTTCTATGCATCCATGGTCCCGCCATCTTTATATAGACAATGAGCAAAATAAAATTACTTGCAAACGTACAATGTTATATACGGTGCTATTGTTTAATGGCATTTTTTCTAAAACTTGCCATTGTAGTTACTACTGTTCTAACCTGAGAGAAATAGGCAATTGAATTCTTGTTCTGTAAACCATAAACAAGTTCATTTTTTTGATTGCTTGCCATGAAGGCTTATTTCTAGCATATACTATTGCTATTATTTTCTCAAAATATTTACTGTTTCATTTGGTATTTGGATGTTTTATGGTTGTTAAGTTGCTATTTCAACTTTGGAATATTAATCGATAATTTCTATCTTTTGGCCATATAACTCTTAATGGATGGTTTCTAACTCTATCACACAGATGAATGATAACTTTCTCGGTGCCAATGCTACTGCTCAGTCATCATGGTAAATATTAATGCATTCTGTGATAATTTCTAATGCATTAGTATTCACATATGAACTTTTCAATCAAGTTGGATTGTTATACTTTTGCCCCTGTCACCAATTTTTAGTCTGACCATGGTCTCCCTTCTTTAATACTTATTCGGTTAGGTCCACTCATAGTGTCCTGGTTGGTAATATACACGTTCTCTACAATCCCAAACGTGGAGACATTAAGCTGGGCCAGGTATATTTCATTTTGGTTTGTTAAATTTCTCTATAGTTTCTTTTTACCTTTGTAAATGACTAATGTAGGTTCATGCGTATTTCCCATTTATTATCACTCAATAATAGAACGAGCTTTTTAGATTTAATATTGTTCTTTTAAACTTATTTAAATTGCATTCCTTTCAAAAAACTTATTTAAATTGCATTACATTGTATTTGGATTTTCTTTGAATAACAATGTGAGAACTAGTTTAACTCGCAGTTGTCGACTGGTTTTTATCTGAGTTGGTCAAAATGAAATGTTTGGAGATTTCTTCCTTCTTTAGAAGGGCGATCAATTCTGATGAAAAGATAAACTACTGTCATTTGAATCTACTAATTTCATTAAGTAACTACATTTTGCGACCTAATTGCCGTAAAATATATAAAATAGATCAAAATGACAAAAAGTGACTTTGCACGTCTGTGACTTTCTTCATACATTTGAAACTTACTTCAAACATCTATTGGTTGCCCTGCTCGATACATGTCTAGCTGTCTCAATTGGATCGAGTTGGCAAATTCTACCTAAATACCAACCTGAGACCTTTTGGCATCAAAACATTTTTGTTTACATATCAATAAGTTTATGGCTATAAATTGCAATTGTTACTCCCTCCACGCTTTTCTAAGCGTCCTCGACTCCTTCCTGGGATGTCTGCAAAACCTGATCATGTTTAATAAACAATTACTGTCTTCCTAAAAATAGATTTAGTTTAAGAATATAATGTGATTAGAGAGTATTCTAGGCATCACTTTTGAGGATCACCCAATTAAGTAATATCAAATGCCCACTAGTTCAACCATAAATCTAAAATTTTGTGCCAATTGAAACAAAGTCATTATTAAACTATGACCGAGAGACGCATTATGTAATAGTTTCGGGAGTGTTTATTGAAATTCGTTGGCTTAAGACTGCAGTTTTTAATATTTAATATTGGTTGTTGTAGATGCGACTATTTCTTGAGAAGGCCTATAAGTTATCACAAGAATGGGGTAGCATTCCAGTTGTCATCACTGGGGACTTGAATAGTTTGCCACAGGTAATTACATAATGCACTTTTTATTTAAATTACACTGTATCTAATTAAATACACAATTTTTTTCCTCACTTATATTTATAGTTTCTTGTTTCTATATATCCAGAGTGCAATGTATCAGTTCATCACTTCATCTGAGGTTACTCCTAGCTCCTTACCATCTGATGAGATTTATAATGTTCCATAGGCAAATGATACTCCATTTGCTTATATTTTTTTCTTATTGCAGTTGCATGTCCAACTATATGATCGAAGACAAATATCTGGCCAGATATGTCCAGTTGAATACCCAAACTTTCATACTCGGAGTCATTGGACAAGGTTTGCATTTATATTCATCACTTGGTCTGGTGTCCTATATTGTAAAATTTTGATGTGAAGGCTGCCTATCCATATTTTGCTTGCTTAGTTCTTTAAGGTGAAGTATTGGACAAGCACACTTGACGCTGAAGATTTTCACTGCTGTCAAGAGTAGCAAAATGAAGTGAAATGTGGTTCATTATAGAATATCGTGGTTCTCTTCTCTTTTCATTTATGTGGGGAATGACAGAGTAGGGGTGGGAGGAAGGAGTACTTGCTTTTAATACCTTGCATGTATAATTTTGTTGGTGCAAATGATTCCTGCTGCATATTATATCTTCAGTAGCATTTAACTTAACGGTTTCATTGCAATGTGCCTTTCCATGTGTTTTGCAAGGCCGTCAATGTATAAGTGGACTGATGAAGAACTAATGCTTGCTACTGGATCAAGACTGAGTCACCTAAGCCATCATTTAAAGCTCTCCAGTGCTTATGCTGGCGTTCCTGTAAGATTTTAGGACCTTCCAGAACTCCCTTGTATGGCAAAGTTAAACGCCTTTAGTTCGTACAAAAAATGTTTTTGTGAGATATTCTTTCATAGTTTTCTTGTATGTGTTGGCAATTGAGTTAAAAAATATAAAGTTTGGCTTGATGCTGAAGAATATATTGCTTCTTTTGGCTCATATATGTTTATATTGCACTTTTTATGTCTGATTTTCCTAGGGAAGCTCAAAAACTAGGGATAAGGTTGGGGAACCTTTGGTAACGTCATTTCATTCCATGTTTACAGGAACAGTTGATTATATATGGTACTCCCCTTTCTATGTCAAAGCTTCTTTTTTTTTATTTTTTTATTTTTTCCCCTACAGTAAGGTGATTTGGGCTATTTGCATTTAAAAGATTTCTCATTAATTTTAGTGGTGATACAGGCATACCCCAGAGCTTGTTCCAATAAGGGTTCTTGAAACCCTACCAATGAATATATTAAGAGAAATAGGAGGGCTTCCTAGTAAGGTACCTTCGTTTATTTTACAATGGCAGTCGAGCTATACATTGCTCCAAATTGTAAATTTTATCGTTTCTTATGAATTTCCATAGATAAATAATATCCCAAGCTTTATCAACTACGCATTTCCCTGTCAAACTGTAAAATTTGTTCTGGCGGGCCCAGCGGCCACTGGAATATTTACAGTTCTGTTTCAATTCCTGTTTGGATTCCTGTTTGGAAAGAGTTCATTAGATAATATCTTGATTATACTTCTAAAGATACTGCTCATGAAATAAGCCCCAAGAACTAAGCTACTATTTACCAAGTAACAAGATGCGCCATTGCCACCTCTAATAATTCCCTCTTGTCCATTTCATATGGGGCGTCTTTATTGCATCCTAATATTCACTTACCGATTGAACAAATTTCCTGTCCATATAGCCACGTTCTTCATCCAACCCCGTTTCAGACCAAATTTATAAAACCAGAATGTGATTCTTCTCATATCCAACATATGTATTATGTGTACCTGTACTAAGTCCGAGCAACATAAATTTTGACGAGTTTTGATGCTCGAGATATAATGTCTAGTTCATCTTAGATAGCAAATATTATCTCGGTTTAATGTTAAAATGCCTCTATTTTGGTCATTTTTATGCATATATGTTGTATTAGCGCTAATGTTCCATATTTTATAAGAGGCAGCGTTTTATCATTTTGTTAGGAAAAAGGTCATTTTGTCCGTAGCAACTTAATGCTTATTTGATTTTAGTTTCAATATTTTCTTTGGAGAATGACACATATGGATGCTGTCAAACAATTCCAATTCTGCAAGGAGCTGCCACTCTTAACCTTTACAGCAAATAAACTCTTTCATTCGTGATTTTTGACATTTCATTAAATAAATTCGGTTTTTGTAATTATTGACTTCTCGATCTTGAAAGGACAGATTTCCATTTTAGATATTTTGTCGCTATGCACAAGGATTTATTTTTTTATTGCAGAAATGGGGCAGTGATCATCTTGCACTCGTATGTGAACTTGCTATTGCTAACGACGGTAACGAGGCTTGCCTTCAAACCCATCTATTTTTTAACAGATTTTGTTCCTAGAGGCACAAAATTCGACATTTCACACTACAAAATTATCATTTTCTGGTATTGCAAATTTTGATTTATGTGTATAAAGCAGGGGATGCTGCTCGGGAATCTCCCGCTCCTGAGTTATAATTGGTAAAAAGTACTGCAGAATCATCTCGATACCTTCTTGTAAGCTGCAAGGATATTGATTTATTTAATGTTACCTTTCTCTCTTCACCTACTCTTTATTTGATAGTTTATTACCTTTTCCTCTATATGTGAATTGAAATTCAGTGTATGGAGGATTACTTCTAGCTGGCATTCTCATCACCCCAAGTCACATTGTGGGTCCATTAATGTTATTTGGAACGGGTCGTGTCAACCATAAAACACCATGAATGGAAATATATTTCTTTTTTAATTATTTCTCTACTTCAAATATATCAGAATACTATTTAGATTATCCTACATTTGGTCATTGCAAAGCATGATTCTACTTTCAACAAGCCCTTTTTTTCCTTTTTTCTTTTCTTTTTTTGTTGTTGTGTGTGTTTAAGGGTTCAACGTGTTCCACAAAATTATGATTTTTGGGTTATTGCAGAGTTTGTTTTGTATACTTTTGAAATTTGAGATTAACTCAAAGGTATCTTGTAAAATAACAATTTCATAGTTCTAAATATTAATTAATTTAAGTGCCTTAAAAAAAAAATTAAATTCTTGAACTCTAACTTGAAATGAATACAAAACAAATTTATACTTAAGTTATCAACTTACTGAAAAATATAACAAAGATTTGTTTTTCTTCAAACTCTTATTGTTAGTTAAATTTCCATGTAAATGGTATCACAGTTAAGTAATATAAATAGAGAATATAGTACGGTTTCATTAGAACAAGAATCTAGTTTTGACTTGATCAAATAAAATAATGAGTATACTTTCATGTGACCCGATAATTTAGTTCCCTTGAAGAAAATTAATTTTAATCGAACACCAAGATTTTTATGGTTGGATTGTTTTAACTATTTTATTGCAAGGAAGTATCACAGAAAGCAAATTTAAAAAGTACAATTCTTTGAGTGAACTTGATTTCGAATTTATGGTTGGTTTTTTTACTTGGTTCTTAATTTTTTGAATCTAATAAAATATGCTTAGATTGAAAATCAATGATCTTGAATAATTAACAATCTTTCTCAAATTGTTTTTAGGTACTAGCCTAAATATCTCTATGAAGATTTTGAATATGCATACACGCATTATGTTATTTGCTAGCCTAAAATATAGAAATATGTCTCAACCTTGTATCAGACATCATGTTATTTGCTGACAATGTGCTTATACTTAAATTGAACTTCTTGTAAGCAATATAAGCTACAAATTTGTTCCAACGTTGATCGAGCATTCAAAGTATTGAATACTTCGCCACTATATCAATCAATCATAAACTGAAGCGAAAATGAGAAAGTATCGAATCAAAGCTTCAAACAAGATTTCATCTTTATCATATCAACATGAGTCTCGCCTAGCTTAATTTAATTACAAAATTTATTATTATTATTTTTTTTTTGTTAAAGAATATATTACCCAAATTGTTAGGATTTAGTCACCCAAAATGGGCAGTATTCAGAAAACCAAAATACAAACCCACGAAATACAGGAAATACCAACACACTAAACAGTGACCCAGTTCGCCAAACCGTACTCTGGGGCTCAAAGGTAAAGAGCCTGTCACTACGTGCAAAGAACCGTCCAAGAGAGAGTTTGAAAACCAAATCATTGATCTGTAAAGATCTCACAAAATAACCCCTAATCGACTCAAGACCAAAACCAAGTGTAGCCAAAGTTCTATATATTTCAACCGATCACAAAAAGCCCCAAAAGGTTCAAACGAATTTATGTTAAACTTCAGCACAGCTTTTCATCCTCAAACCGATGGACAATCGGAGAGGACTATACCGACTTTGGAGGATATGCTGCGTGCCTGCGTTCTTGATTTAGGAGGCAGTTGGGAAAGTTATGTACCATGGGTAGAGTTTGCCTATAATAATAGCTATCAAGCTACGATAAAGATGGCACCTTACGAAGCTCTCTATGGCAGCAGATATAGAGCTCCTCTTTATTGGGATGAAGTAGGTGAACGAAGAGTTTTAGGACCCAAAATAATTGAGGAAACTAGTCGAGCAGTTGATAAAATAAGAGCTAGAATCAAGGCAGCCCAGGACCGACAAAAAAGTTGTGCTGATAAAAGGAGAAAAGATTTGACATTTAATGTGGGTGATAAGGTTTTTTTAGAAGTGGCACCAATGAAGGGAGTTCATTGCTTTGGAAAGAAGGGAAAACTTCAACCAAGATTCGTAGGTCCTTTTGAAATTTTGCAGAAAGTTGGAAATGCAGCCTATCGAATTGCTCTACCACCAGATTTGTCAGCAATTCATGATGTGTTCCACGTGTCAATGCTTCGACTATGTGCCAGATCAAAGTCATGTAGTTAGTTATCAACCATTGGATATCAAACAAAACATAACTTATGAGGAAAAATCAGTAGCAATATTGGATCGCAAAATCCAACAACTGAGAACAAAGGAAATTCCGTTAGTGAGAGTTCAATGGAGAAACCATAATGTCGAAGAATCAATTTGGGAAAGAGAAGAGGAAATCAAGATCAAGTATCCAGAACTTTTCAACTAAGTTCAAGGTAATTTCGAGGACGAAATTTTTTAAGGGAGAAAGGATGTAATACTCCGAAATTTTGTGCTCATTTAATTTTTAGGATAGCAATTTAACTTTTCAAAATTTAGTATGGCCAAAATTATTAATGGTTGCCAAATTTACATTGATCGATTTATTAAAAGTCTACCAAAATTAGTTAATTAGGGGTTTGGAATAAATGTCAAAATTTTACATCTAATTACTAAAAATAAGCATTTTTTTTCCACTTGGCCGAGAGTAGAATGTTATCTTTGTAGTGAGGTAACAACCAAGCATGAGGTGGCTAAGGCAAGCATGAAGTGTTTAACTTAAGCATGAGGTGTTTAGTTAAATTTATGAAGTGCATCCATGCAACTCACGTGGAGACAATTGTTGAAGAGTCACCTTTACTTAATCATTAAGTCCTCTTACCTTTAAATAAGAAATGTTGCTGCCATTTATTTCCCTTGCAAAACAAAAAAAAACAAAAAAAAACAAAAAAACAGAATATCACTTGTAAGAAAGGGCAGTGAATACGTGAGGAAAAGGGGACAAAGCCTAGCACTCTCAATTTATCTTTCAATTGAAATTTCTTCAAGTTTTAATGTAAGATATTTTCTATGCTTAAATGGTAAGATTTCATGATAATATTTATGCTTAAACTATGCACGAAAACCATAATATGAAAGACGTGGACAAGTCTAGAAAGTTATATATCTATTTATGCCTTAGGACAAGTCCGAAGGGCACCGACAAGCCGGAATGTGCAAGTATGTGTTTGAATGCATTTTTTTGTGTAATATTAACATGTTAAATCCAAGCATGGTATCTTACTGAGTATTTTTTATACTCACAATATTCCATACTAAATTTTCAGATCCATAAATGTGGAGTTGGTGGAAGTCAGTAGGCATAATCGATGATGGGTTAAGGACAAAGTTATTTTACATCGAAGTTTCTTCTTTGTATGTTTTGTTTGATTGCTTTCCATATGTTTTTCTTATGTTATTATATAAAACATGTATAAGGCATGATGTAATATGGTACCTGAAGTAAATTATGTAATCATATCTCCCATGTTATATTAAGAGACGTTTTTTATTTTTTTAGACTTTCCCTTTCAAGTGATAAAAAGGCAGAAATGGGACAATTTTTGGGTTAACTTCAAAACGTTATTTCTGACTCCATAAACGTCTATTTGAGACTCTAAAAATATTGCTGCGTCCCTCTTTGAGTTGTCTTAATATGGGCTCAAGAACCACTCAATTTGGATATCCGTGGCCTGAGATATGAATTTTTACGCGTTGAAGGGTCAATCTGAACTTTCTGTGCAATACCTCACGTTTTTCAGTAAAATGCCCATATCATATGATTTTGGAAATTTTTCATATTTTAACCTAGAAAACTACTTGAAAATATCTTTCTGATGTCGCAAATTTCATAGAAAACAGAGTTGGGATGAATTTTATAAAAATAGTTGAACTTGCTGCCCTAACTAATCGTGACAGTGCCGTGTCTGTCAATGTAAAGTATAATTTCATGTCGACATGCATTTCTGCTGGCCATTAAATTTTATGAAAGATATTTTACGAAATTGAAAATAAGTTTCTAACATGTAATACTTTTATTTAAGAGTATTTACATGTAGCGAAGGCAGCAGTTTTTATGTTTAGTACGTGACACTCGAAACTTAAGTTTGGGGCGTCACAGCGTAGTATCAGAGCATTTTTGCTTTTCTGTAGACTTTTTTTTTTTAAAAAAGAAAAGTTGCTGTCCTTCATCATCGAGCAAGCTAGCAACTGACTTCCAACTGACGATCAAGGTAAAAATTTCTTTTTAAAGTTTATGAGTTTTCTTATGCAATGAACTGCTATATCTATGGCTGGATATATGAATATTTTGAATCAAGTCATGGTTGAGATTATGAAGTCATTAACACTTATATCTAATTATTAATAGAGCCTTGTAGAGTAACATAATCAATTTTTGTCCTAGTTATGGCGCGAATAGTAAGAACCCCCACAAGAACAGAAGCTTGTGGTTTTGCGAAGAAGCGGGACATATTACTGGCATTTTATTATAATTATTGTATGCATCCGCTCCATAGCCTCGAACAACATCTTGATCTGCTAAATTGCATTGTTGAGATGTTATGGGAGATACACCATAGCATAAGGGATAAAGTGAAGATACGGAGGTTATATAAAACTGTTCCAGAACCTTGGGCTTCAATCATAAATGAGATCGTACTATAGTCTGATGATGACCTTACATACTTACTTCGAGAAAGTTATGAAACTAGCCGCGATTTACGGCTAAACTTTAAGAAGACTATAACCTTATCCATGAATACTAGTTTACAAGCTACCAATTCTAGGCTAGATAATGGACCATTGGCTAAATGCTTTTCGAGAGTTCTAGATGAAAGTTTTCCCGTACCATTACCAGATAGTTCGGAACAAAGCATGTTAGAGAAAGAACCAGAGGAAGACCCAGATAAAGACCCTGAGGAGGATCTAGAAGAAATAGAAGATTAGACACCATCTTATCTAGTTATCTTTGTTTTTGGAATAGAATAGGACGTAATACGTACATCTACTTTTGAATGTATGTACTGTACCTTAACATGACTTTTGTTTGTGAAAGATAATAATGTATATATATGAAAGAAAGTTGTCTTGACCTTTGGATGTTTCTAAAGTTAGTATTACGTCCTGAAGTAATTCTAACTGGATGAAT